TGAGGTGTGAAAATTGTACTTGCTATATGATGTGGCCCAATTTGGTCCTGGACCCTCTCAATTTCCCATTTTAGACCAGCAATACCCCAATAAGGCCTTTCCATTTTAAAAAAAATCAAATAAAAGTGGTTAATATATTTTGAACATTTAAAAAATGTACTACTTACTACCCCCAACATATATTATAAATTATAAAGATGAGAGTCTAACAATGCTATGCTTTTCATTTTCTTTCATGTGACAACCAGCAGTTAAATTTGTATTGTGGTAGTGTACAATTATGAGCATTTCACTTGCCTTTACACCAGCTCTTTTTTATACATCTTGAAATGTGGATGCTTAAATTATACCATAATTACTCTTCTTATAATTATGGCTGTGACAGAATGGACATGGCTGCCATTGTTGAAAGGCTGATGAATGGGATGTGATGAATGGGTTGAGGTATTGAAGTATTGAAAGCAAAACGTTTTTTTTAGCATTTAACCTTCAAATGGCATTATTCAAAGATGATGTGGATGAATCCATTTTGATTGAAAAATAAAGCCAAGCAGAACATTATCATAATACCAAGCTCATCATATAAAAACAGGCGAGGTGTGACTTGGTGAGATGGGTGGGTTTTCTTGAATGTTTCCTTTTGTATTCATGCAGCACTTGGGAAAAGGGGCATAATAAATAAATGGTATAAAGTACAGAGCCAAATAGTTTATTTCTCCACCAGCTTCCTGCATTTCTTTTGAATCGTGAAGACTGATGCGCTGTCAGACCAACCTCCAAAGGTGATAACCACAAAACTACTTAGTCACCCAGTCTTTCTCAAGCAACCCCGGCCTTTATTTCCTTAAGTCAAATATGTATCTGCTGTTGATCTTGAAATTCCCCATGAACCTTAAATACCTATAAATAAAATCCACTAAATGTTTACCTCTTGAATTGAAGCAGTTATTTCAGCTGAATTCTAGCACGTTCTGGTCCTTCCTCAAATAAATATGTAGTCTGGGTCAGTTTACATTTCTTTTACATCCAATATTTTGATTGAATTTCTTTTTTGATGAACATTAGAGTGCTCACACTTGAAACATTGATATATTCTGTGAAATATTTTCCTTAATAAAGGGGTGAAGCTTGATGGGATACTATAACAGGATCAAATGAAGTAAAACGTGCAGAAAATTATTAACTGTCCACACAAAAAATTCAACAAAAGACCCTGAAAACAGTATTTCATAATTTAAAAAGGATAGCTGAACAAATGGATGAGCAAAGAGGGTGGAGGCGAAGAAAAGGGTCAAAGGTTATGAAAATAAATATTCCCAATGTTTTGAAAAGTTTGGGTTATTCCTTCTGCACAACATCAGTACATTTCCTTTGGGTGTCATCAGCTAATGTTTCACTACTCCTGTAATTTCCCCCTGGCTTTCCTTTGATGCTGCAGAGGGATTGTAATCTCCATTACATATGAGGGGCCACTATCTCGCACAGCTGTTCTCTCCTCAGCAATCGCTTTCAATCTGCCTTCTCCTTTGATTTATAACTTCCTGTTGTCCTTGGGGTTGCTAAATTTCACTATACTTTCTGTGTAGCAACAATTTGAAACTCCAGCTCATTTGGGGCTTGGGAGCACTGACCGCAAGGCCTGGCTTTAGGGTCCAAAATAGTTTGGAGTCAGGGGGGTGAGATAAAACGGTTGTTGGGATGGAAAACGAAATGGCTTTTCTTGCTGAGCTTGTCTGGTTGTGGGCAGGTTTGAGGCCTGTGAGAGCCGACCATTTTAGGATGATGTTTGTGCGCGTGACCCGAAGTGGGTCCCCTCCCTCAGGGGCCAAATGTCCCATTAGCTGTCGTGGATGGTGGGTGGGGGCAACACTCGAGTCATTGTTCCACAATCTTGCATTTGGATTAGCGCAGTTAAAATAGCAAATAACCTGCGCATCAGACAAAGCTGTCTACACATGATGATTAATAAGAGTATGAAGCTGATACATAACAGCCAAATCTCCGCTGGGTGATTGTGTTGTGGAGTGAGCATCAGTCCTCATTAGGCTGCATTCATCTCAGGGTCACTGAGGCTGAACCCCCCTCAACCCTTCCCACATCTTCCTCCACTTCCTGTCCCAACAGCTGGTCCTCCCACATCCTCTAGGAATGTATCATTTCAGTCTATTTAAAATGTATATAGAGAATTTATACTAAATATAAAAAAATTCTTTACAGTCAATCTGCACAATCATCATTTCAATTAGCAAGAGACCTTCAATTCAAAAACAGGAAGCCTGTGAATACAGAAGCACAAAAGTGCTGCAGGAATAATAAAAACATTTATAACTGAATTTGATTGATTCCCAAAAAGCGAACTACTTTGTTTTACGCTTTAATTAATTAGTGATTATGTGTTCCTTTGTATATCCTCTTAATAATTATCCTGAAAGAGTGGTAACTTGTAATATATTCATTTATTGTCTTCTTCGGGGAGTCACACTAGCTGTAAACGCATAACTCACATAGTATACATTTGTTATTTGGAAAGTTGTTTATTTATTTATGTACTGTATTTAGATTCATAGCAAAATTACCATCTATTTGGAATTCTGTTTTTGTCACCTGGGGATTATTGATCTATGTTTTGGTCTCCACCGACTCCTGAGGGAAGTATGTGGTTAGCAGCTAGATGCTCCACTGTGTTCACCAGCTGGTCATTAGTGTGCATGTTTGTTGCTTTGCACACGGTGGGTTTATTTGAGCTTTTTAGCAGGAAAGAGTTCAAAATGTATCCCACCAACCAAAAAAATCTAAAATGCTAACTTCCTAGCCATACTCTTGGGGACAGGAGTAAAAGCATGTTATCTTCTTTTTACTGTAGCTTTGGAAAAAACATGTTATCTTAAGATTGCATCCGTGCCAAGCTGATTGCAACAGAGTCGGAACATGTACACACTTTTTGGAAAGAATTTATACATTTGACAAGAGAAAACCCTTGCATCGAACGTTTTGCTCTTGTCAAGGCTCAGTTGCTCCATTTTACAATCTGAAGCCCTTTACTTGTTGCAGTTGTGCATTTTAAACAAACATACTAAGCTTTAGTTAGTCCAGTGTTACTTGAAATGGTCTTAGTTTCTATAATTCATTCCTGGTTCAACATTTACAGTAATAAAGAAAGACTTTTTTTAGATGCGCAGGATCAAGTTTGAGTGTTGTAAAACAATAAGTCGACTTTCTGCATCAAGTGCAGGTTGAAAGCGTTGTTACTTATAATAACCAGCTCATTGCAGATGCTATTCACTGTACATTATTGGGCTAAATACAATATTTATGACAAGAACAATTAAGTTAGCATAATTAAAACACCTCCTGCTGTGAAGTGCCCGTGTCCCACCAATGGGTGCACTCAGCTGCTTGGAGGCCCAAGGCAAAGATAAGCTCTTGAAAAGCACCCACCCTTCCAACTCATTTAAACTGGGTCAGAGCAGAGTATGCATTGATGGGCTGCTGTTGTGAAGAACACTAGAGCTAGAAAAGTACACACACTGATTGGATCATGATGGAATTACTTATTATGTTGATTCAGCATTTACATTCCTGCCTTTTCTCCCTTGGCTCCTGACATTAGTTAAAGGTCACCTATCATGCTATTTTTAGGCAATAGCATAGGTCTCAGATATATAAAAATATATAAAAAAACATGTCTATGAAGTGTTTTTCTCAAAATACCAAACAGATCACCCATTCTAGCCATGCCTCATATCCCTCTATTTCACTTCCTGTTTCAAAAGTGCTGATTTTTGAAATTTGATAAAAAATAAAAAAGGAGGGGACTGAGCTCATGCGGGACCCGGCAGCTACTGTCTAAAGTAAATACTGCCGTGATGAAACGCCATATCATGGAATATCAAGGATTATTTCTGAAACAGTATGGAGCTTCTTCACACACATGCTCTCCAGTACAGGTTAGCTCTGAGTGTTAGCGATGCTAATGTAAACACCCACCATATTACGTCCAAAACAGTCAGGCATTGTTTCTGATAGCAACTTTCTGATAGTGCCGTGGGTCCACATTTCCGATATTACGTCATATCGGACGCAAATCTGGATCAGCTCCGTTGTACCCCCGTTTTTAGAGATTTGAGTACGGAGGAAAAGAGAGAGGGTTATATCTTCTGACGCTGCGTAGTTCCCTGACACACCGGGGACACATATTTATGTATAAAAGACATCAAAAAGTGCATTTTGCATGATAGGTCCCCTTTAAATGGTTCTTACAGAGGTGATTGTAAATATATGATTTCGTATTTTTACATGGCCCTGTCGGATACTAGATTCAGATGATTTTTTACTTACTTAGAGGAAGCAATTAACCCATTTTTAAATCTGTGTTTCTTTATCAAAATATGAATTTGTAGTAGCCTTGTAATAAATGTGATAATGTACATCAAGTGGGTCATCAATGTGAAATGAACCTCTTTGGTAGATGTAAGATCCCTTCCCTGTCCGTGCTCATTTGGAATTAATGACCCATTCGCTTTACATTTTCCCTTAGATATTGTATTTTTAGTTCCCCTTTTGTGCAGTTGTGACCTACCTTCACCTTATAGTAAGCCCAGTCCATTTACTGTTTTTAGATATTGGATGTTGTGTAGTATCACAGGTCAAAGGTGAGCCTTTAATGGTGTTACTTCTATGCCACAAAGTGGATAAATGGACAAATATGTCAGAGCAGGAGATGTATGTCTGTGTTTTTACACATGATGTCAGGAATAGATAACAATAGGGGAAGAGAGATGCATTATGGTCCAGCAGGGCATCATCCCATTAACCTGCCTCTGTAGAGAAACAGGGGAAGCACTGGAGCGTACCAAGAGCAGTCCCTTCAACCAGAGATTGTGAGAGGAATACAGTACACAATTCTTCACTAGAAAATTCATCACAAAGGTTTAGTTTGGATTTAAATATTGCCTGCAAATGCCTGCTAGAAATGAAAGGAGATTTATTATCACACAAACTGCTGAGAAAGCACATTGACTTTATGGAATAGAGTGTGTGGGGATGAATACAATATATTCACTGATTTTTAAAGACAGACAACAGCAATACAATGATCGGGAAAAACAGAAGCCTTAATGTCTACATTAAATACACACGTTTTTATGAATGGCACCATCTGTTTTCTGTCGTCCTTTCATCACACTCAATTCTGTATGTAGTGGAAACATTGTGAATATTTTGAAGCTGCAAAGACTTGAATATAAAGTAGAATGAGATTGGACAGAAATATATTTGCACACTTTTTCTTTTCTAAAATAAATATACAATGCTCATTCAGGAATGAACAAATTGTGATAAACAAATAGACACAGCCACATCTCCCTTTGAAAAACTACACTTTGAATATTTGTGTGCCTAATGCAGGAATTCAAGCAAAACAACATGAGGAGGCAGGTCTATGGATTAGGTGTCCATGGTTACACTCTAAGTAAATAGGTTTTCCAACGCACCACAAATAATCAACTACTACACAAAGTTGTTTCTTCAGTTTCAGTTTGAACGATGTTGAGCCAATAAGCCTTTAATAAAAATAGTTTTAACCAAACCAAGAGATTTCAGTTCGGTCAGCTTGTTTATACTTCAAAATACAAAGGCTGTCAAAGTTATTTGTCTTAATTTTGAGGATGTGTGCATGCAGAGATACAAACACACAGCTCTCTAATTTCCTTTGACACCTCAAGTGTGATTGTGTTTAACGGGGCTGTATATATTTCTTAGAACGACCTGGAGGGAGTGAGCTCAATCCCACCCTCTGGACGTGACACCAGCTGATTTACACTAATGACAAACTGGCTCTTCTTCTCAAGATACGCGGCTTCCTGGAATTGACGCCACTTTTGGCCTTGCTCGCCTTCAACCCTTATCTTGTTAGAGACGATTGACAAAAGCAATTACCTGCAGATGCAGCATTGTGCCTGACAAACAAGGTAACGTAGCAGAGGACAACAGCTCTCGGCGTCTCTCATCCTAAGATGCTGCTCTGATTTTGAAACATTTTAACCATCTTTCCTTTGGGGAAATGTGACTGCAAATAGCATTGCCTTCAGTGCTGACACTCAACAGCCCTGGCAGTCTGCACTGACCATCCACTCCTACCCTCCTTTAAAAAACTGCCCTAAATAAAACGTTCCCGTCATCTTTCTCTTTGCTCTCTTTAAGCCTTTGGATTAAGATTTGAGAGGTTAGGGGGCGTCACTGCTCTGCTTTCTCTTCCTGAACTATAGTGTCACACTTTGTTTACAGTCTAGGATGAATAAAGAGTTCGGTATAATAAGGCCTCCAAATAAACAGACTACAAACAACACTCATTTTATCTTGAATACAAATACAATAACAGAGCATTTGTCTTGAATAGTGGGGGGTTGTGAGAGATCTGTATTTGAGAACAACCATTATATAACAAGATATGCTGTTTTTACGTGTTAGTACTCTCAATTTGGTTGGAAAAATGCAACTGAGCTGAACTGTGTCACGAGAAATTCCTTCGAGAGATTAAACCCAACTGAAAGCAACATAAAGACCAAACAGCTGATTAAAAGCATTGTGTTTCATTTTGCTGCAACAGAGCAGATGATTGGAAAGCTAATTGAATTAGGAAGTGAGATTTAACAAGGGAGTTGGACTTCTTGTCAGATGGTAATCGGGAAGAAAATGACATAGTGCTCATGTAAATATTTCCTCCTCAGAGAATGCAACAGGCTTTAAGAGTAATGACAGTGCTGTCTAGAGAAATGACATTATTTAACATATACACAACAGTATCAAATTACATATATTCCAATTAACACCACTTCCATACCAGTAATTCTTCAAGATAAAGATACAATGCTTTTTTCACTACTTCCTGTTAGTGTGTCTCGACCCAGACATTTCATTTGTTTCTAGAGTTTATGAGTCCCTTTGAGATAACGTTTCCTTCCTCTAACCTCTCCCAGACTGTCTGATAATCTTCATGAATAAAATAGTGCGGAACGTCAAGTGGAATAGGAAATATACCAACACCTTCACTCTTTTTGCCTTTAGTGATATTTTAACAACACCCTCATGAATATGTGCGTACTTCACAAAAACAAATTCATTAACCTTCTTGAAAATTCCTTTTAAGCACAACACCCTTCAAACAGGGTGATTATCTTTGGCAGGCGCCAGTAAGCCGTAAGATGCTTTGAAGACATTCCTAAGAGGATATAAATAGTGTATCTATCCGCAGCACCCCCCTGCAGACAATAGGCTGATATGGAGCTGGCCAGCCTTCTTTTCACTACTTTTTTTCCAGAAGAAAGTACAGGAACTTTTCATGCATGTTTCATAAAAAAAACACATTACATATACAGTTTTGGTCCCAGATGCATCATGAAGCAACCAAGCCTGTGAGGTAAACAGTAATGTGCAGTAACCAAAACAATTTCTGTTCATGTATGTCATAGCTTTCTTAATAATGTAGATTACTTTTTCTATAACAATACAGCTTTATAAAGCAGAGGAAACAGACTGAGGCTTGGCTTGTGGATATTAAGCTCTCGTATATTCAACCAAGGAGATTTGATGTTTGATGGAAGTGGGACTGTTTTTCTGTATTTGTTGTGCTAATGAAATCTACTGCAATGTGTTTTTTCTTAGCATGCAGTAACATGAATGAAACCAAAATCAGGCTGTGTAGCAGAATGGGATCTTGCATGGCCTTAATCTTTTTGAGGTATTGTGAGGTGTTGAAATTAAACACAGATTTATTGAGTTTTTGCACACACAGGCCTCAGCTTGGACATTGTGTTCTGGTGTGATGGTGCGGTGGGGGTTTAAGATTAGACTCTTATGTAAGTTTGGGGGTTCACTGATAAGAAATGGCCTCGCTGCAGCTTAAACAGCAGCAAGTTTAAATAAATGTGTGTCTAAAATACGTGTTATAATACCAAGCATTTCTACCACATGATAATAAACATAAATCATTTGAACCATAGGATTTTATTCTTTATTTTTTTCCATGACGCACAGGCATGCTGCTAGCCTGCTTATCCTCATGCTCATATCTTATATGATGGAGAGTAATCTTCTTTTTATCTTTACACAAAACACCCACTGTGCACCAGCCTCCAGCTCTGGAATCATGCATTTTAAACTACACATTACTTCAATTTCACCCTGAAGTTGCTCTTTCCCCCGGCTTGCTGCAGTACGAAATATTGATCCATTATAGAGGAACTTCTTGTTCAAAGGTGCGTGTTGCAGGACTTATTATACAATGACCTATATATTACAACTGTGTCATATGCATCTAATGATTGATTAACTGACCATGTTTGATGCATGCTTGCATCGAATTTTAAACTTTGATGAACTGAACATATGTACCTTTTTGTTTTGCAACTTCACATTTTATTCAGACGAGTTAGCCTACATTAAAATGAATGTGGGGAGGGAACACAGTCAGTAGAAGAAGAATGAGTTCTTATATATAATCCCTTTTGCCCATTGAGTGAAAGTGGCAACATTTTGCCCACAGGATTCCTGTGTTTAAGTGCGTTTTGAAGTTCTGCATACGATTTTCTTGAAGGATTTCCTGAAATCCCTGTTGAAAATAGTGTATATTATAGGGTTCACAGAACTGTTGCAGTAGCCAATCCAAAAAAAAAGGTTGAAAAGTGCACCAGGGATGTAGCAGCTCTCTCTGCAGATAGCATGCAGGCTGTAGGTAAAGAAGAAGGGGAACCAGCAAAGCACAAACACCCCCATCACAACAGCAAGCACGAAGGTGAACCGTTTTTCCCTCATCTGGGCCACCTTGGTCTTGTTGGCCGCGGCCAGCTGTTGTCGCGCAGCAGGGTGCTTCTGCTCCGGGGGGAGCTGCAGCGCCCGGGCTGAAGCCCAGGAGAGACGGCAGTTCTGAGGCGGGCAGCAGTCTGACCCCTCCACCTTTCTCCGCTTGTTGAAGCGATGATTGCGGGGTTTAGTATCCGACGGACAGAAGCTCTCCTCCAGGTCTATGTCATCCAGCTCCCCCTGCCTCCTCTGTTGACTCCCGGAGCTCTGGCTGCTGGGGCTCTCCGTCTCACACCGGTCCGTCCTGACGAAACATGTCTCGGACTGAGAGGGCTGCCTCTCCAGACCGTTTTTGGCCACGAATACGGTGGAGGAGCGCTGTTTGGCCACCTTATAGATCTTACAGTAAACTAGAATCATTATGAGACCCGGAGCGAAGAAGGACACCAGGCACGAGGAGAGGATGTACCAGGTCTCATCGTTCAGCAGACACTCCCGTTCATCATGTTTGGTCATGAGGAGAGGAGGGAAGGAGATGAAAGCAGATATTACCCACACTATAGCGATCATTGACTTGATGCGCTTAGGTGTCCGCTTCAGGTTGTAGCTGACCGCCTTTGTCACTGACCAGTAACGGTCCAGGCTGATGGCGCACAGGTGCACGATGGATGAGGTGCAGAACAAAACGTCCAGAGCCAGGTAAAAGGCGCACCAAGTACTCCCAAAGTACCAGTAGCCCATGACCTCATTGACGAGGGAGAAGGGGATGACCAGTGTGGCCACCAGGATGTCCGCTGATGCCAAGGAGACCAGGAAAAGGTTCTGGGGCGCACGGAGAGCACGACTGGTCAGCACCGCTACAATCACCAACACGTTACCGACAATGGTCACCGAAATAATGATGATAACTACAACAATGATGAGCGCAGTGGCTGCCCCGGTGTGTGGCAAGCCAAGCGGTGCGTCCGTAGTGTTCTCATCCTTGGATACGTTCCCCATCAACAAATCTAACTGATTTAAATCCATTCTTGCGCCAATTTGTGCTTTCGGATCATGTTCGATGTTTTCCACCGTTTTCCATTCCAAAACAGCTAAGACTGGCTGTGCTGAACTGCCTTTCACTAATGCATGGCGATATGTTGTGCGTAATGCTCCTGGTCAGCACGAACAGAGTGTAGCCCACATACATGTAAGGCGCAGTACCTGCACACATGCATCTCCTCAAACAGCAACCCCATAACACAGGTTCTTCGATTTCTCCTGATGAGCACACAGGGTCCCGACAATATCAAAGAGTTTTGTATCCAACTCTCCACGAGCAGAGTCGCTCCTCTTCCGTCACATCGTGGTGCGTAATGCTGCTTTATTTGCGGTTCGGTGAACAGCTTCGCTTTGGAGACACAGTGCTGCTGCTATGAATGCCCACACAGAAGTGAGCTGACATCTCTCCAACTTCAACCCATCTCTTAACTTAAAGGAGGGAGAGAGAGAGAAAGTAAGGGGGGTAGAGAAAGAGAGAGAGGGAGAGAGAAGGGGTGGGGGGTGAGAGAGTGAGAGAGAGAAATGGTGGGGAGGGGGGGCGGTATGGGTGAGAGAGAGTGAGAGAGAGAAATGGGGGGGGGGGGGGGAATTACAGGCAGTTGGAATTGAGATGTCTTTGAAATGTATCTTCAGGCTAGCCCCTGGGTTTGTTGCATTCGTAGACACTCAGATGTTTTCATTATTTTCAAATCTAACTTTATTTGTTGTTTTTTAGTTGTTTTTCTCAGCATGACAGATAGGCCTTACATCATGCTGTGAGTTGGAACACACCAACAGTTTACACAACGTACCACTTTAGCTTTCCATTATAATCAATTGTAAAGATTATATTGCAACATGTTCATAGCAGATCCATGACAGCGATATTTATGGTAATAATAATAATAATAATAATAATAATGGGTTTCATTGATAACGCACTTCATATTTGAGTTCAAATCCCGAAGTGCTACAAGCAGTGAGCATGGAACAAAAATAAAAACAGTACACAACACGGTAGAATGAATAAAAAGCTGTAAAAAACAAACAATAAAAAAACTCTGACATGGAAGTCGGAGTTCCTGATTGAAATAGTGGTTTCAAAGCACAGCAGGAGGTTTCTCTGAACTTTAGCAGCCCTGCATGGTTTCCAAAGGATGTCATAGTGTTCAAAGCATAATTGACTGACCTGCACTTACATTTTGTCTGTGAATTTAGTGGTACATTTGGTATTGTCCATCTTTGTCGGAGGCCTATGACTTGTAAGGCACATTTATTATGTTCAGTTATTCATACACTGTTATGAATAATGGGGGTGACCATATACCTATTGCTGAGAAGCTGCATCTGTTTGCTCTGAAGGTCTGGTTATATAACATGTATGCAGCCACTCGTAGAGCCAAGGGATATTTACCAGTCAGGAGGGATGCAAAAAGACACACAAGCGCACACCTGGCCAGTCAGGGGTCATTGTGAACTAAAACTATGGAATACAATTAATTCTGAGCGGATGAGTCGTCTCTGCTCACCAGATGCACTTCACTAATTTTGGATTTAAAAAATAATCTATTTTGCAAAGTAAATAGCATCTGCCGGAAGCCTGTCAGTATGGGATTTGCAGTCAGGCTTAAAGCTGTTTGATGGGCTAACATTAACGTTAGTGTTTGAGTGTGCGTCTGAGTTCATCCTTGAAAGTGAGTTGTCTGGAGGGTGAGCTTTCCTTAGTGGCTGCACTGAGACGAAACACAGATGTAGATTTAGAAGAGGACATGGAGGAAGATTCGGACAGCCTCGCTTCCCTCTCCATTTCCTCGCAACATATAACAAAAACAGTGAAGATCATCTAAAGGGTGAATGTCACCATATATCAGTGTTCTGCAGACCGACCCTTAAGAGCATACCTGCAGCAAATACACAGAAAAAACATCATTAACCAACCACACACTGTTCTTCTTTCTGTCTCACTTCATCATGACCTGAGGGGTATCCAATAATTAACATACTATTATAACTGTAACTAACAGACCTAGTCTTGTTATAATTGAATGGAATATGTTATTGCATACATTCCCTCTGTATTATTACTTTTCATTGTAACCTTCAGCGATTGTAAGGATTTGTTCCAAAGCAGAGAAAGACAGACAAGATAAAGACAAAAAGGGACTTATTTTACTTACTATTCCTTTAGATAACCTTAAGGTAATATAAGTATAAGCAATCTTACAATATTTTCTGCACCTGTAACTTCTCATGGCACAACTGGAAATTAAATAACAGTTTTTTTTCCTGCTGACTTTTCCTTAAGGTCAAAGCAACAACAAAGTGTGCAGTGTTGTGAGTCCACTGGCTTTACTTTATAACAAAATGGTCAGGAGAGAAAGAACAAAACTGTCCCCAAAATACGGTCGTCTCCCTAATCCAAATGCAGAATTAAACTAAATCTCTATTACATCTAAAGGTCAGAGCAGTTTCATTTATAGCATACACAAAAATGCATGTGTGTTACATGTGATGTGATGTGTGATGTGTACATGATGTGATACATATTTTTTTATTAATTAAGGAAAATATTAAGAGGCATAGGCACATGCAGATGTTTGTATCATAGACCAAACATTAACTCGTTATTACACACTGCATATCAAAGAAAAAAGCGATCTGAGGAAAGACTAAATATGAGAATTAATTAAGCAGCATTCCGTACTTTCTATTCCGAGAAATACAACGATACCCAGCATCCTGTCACTTTGGATCCAGCTTCCTGTTATGATGCACACACCACACCTAATGAGCGGCGTACACAAGGTCCCCTTTCCTGAGTGGCTTAAGGGGTCTCAGACAAATGGAGGAATCGTACGAACATTAAAGTTTCCATTTTAGAGTAAAAAGCATTAATGAATGGGCAACACCTCTTGCCTATTCACCATGATGTGTTTGACATCCTTCTGACACAAATTATCCCTTAGTGACGCACATGCCAGATTCATTTACTATCACATTTAAAATATTACACGGGCTCTGCAGCCACCGAAACGAGCGGCACAAGCATTTACACAGTCATCTGAATAGCTCTAATTGCCACTACTCATCAATCATTACATTTGCACCGTGATTCGAAAACTTCTTCCACTGCCAGCCGGTAATGTTGATTTGGTTTAAGTGATAATTACTGCCCCTAGAAATTCTTTATTAGCTTAGCAGTGATTATCAATAATATTGCTGAACACATTTTCCTTCAATGTGCCTTTTATAAACTCCACATGCAACTTTTAAAGTGAGAGTGTGGTTTATACACGCAGGCCTGAAGAAGACTGGTTAGCCTGCATGGGTAGTTAAAATACTGTATGCTGACATAAGACAACGCTGATAACACTGTTTACAGGCCATACACGACTGTGTGGATAAAAGGATCCCTGAGATGGCAGTCATATGCAGAAGTGACATTGAGATAGCTGTTTCTCTCACTGCTTCAATTCTCTTACCTTCCTGTTTTCCTCTAGGAGACTGTTTAGTCTGTGAGCAGAACCCACTGCTGCGTTATGTAACGTTCCAGGAATAAATGGCCCGAGGTGGTGTGTGAAAACCTCATCTGAGGTCGCAGGTGACTTGTTATAGTAAACACTTTCTTCAGGGATTTCAGCCAGCAGAAATTCAACTATGACCCAATAGGATTACTGCATAATATAGTGTGCGTTACAGGATCCTTTGCTCTTGTTAGTGTGTATACTTGTGGTAGATATAGCTAACAAGAAGTGGGAGAGGACTTTGTATTTGTGTCACAGCCACACTGTGATTCACATATTCTTTTTTCAGAGATCTCACATCGTTCCTCATCTCCCACCTTCTTTAAAACTTGCTATTGCTGTCGGTAGGCCTGGCATGTCTGGATAAATACATGACTGCTGACCTTTATTGTGTCCGAAACAAACAAGATGTGCAAGTGCTTTCCACAGCTTTGGACAGGAATTTAAAATGAATGAGAATGAATGGGTTATTGAGGCCTTAAAGGTCACACATTTTAGCGGTGGACATTTTATATGAAATTATAGCTGAATCTTCGGATTGGCTTTAATCAGGGAAGTCCTCCAGTCTCAAAAGATAAAAATATTGGCAAATCTGAAAATTATAATTTTTGTAATCTTTTAAATATTTAAATACTAAAGCAGACATGCATAATTTTTCGAGATAATGAAAAAATACCTCAAATATGATGAAAACATAACTGATCGACTTGTTTCGTCAGCTGCTCTCACGAGGTGTGAAAAGATTCTTCTTTGATAAAAGCTGTAATGGTACACATTCAGCAGAGGAAGGAGCTTTTAAAACTCAATTCCAAGAACCTAGATAATAAGCTTCCTGCAAAAACACTTCAGTAAATAAAATCCTCCATCTCATTTTTTAAGGATAGGAAGACTGGTAACACAGCGACACATGTTTAGTGAGATTTGGTAAACTTCCCTGTTGATTGGTTAAAGAGGTTTAAATGCTGCAGCAAACACGCAGGTATGAGGGCAAATCAAGGCTTATTCTGTCTTATATAGTCGGATCAATCCACAGTTTTTTAAGGTATTGAAAAGTCCTTCTATTCGATATATTTTGCCCACAAAACCCAAAGAGCCACCTCATTTTCACTGAACAAGTGGAGCAATGAGTCAGATCTCACTATTGACTCACAAGAAATTATGATTTGGTCATTGTAACAAACATGAGTTATCAGATGATCTACACCAATTGCACATGAGAAAACACAAACAAATCAATAATAATCGTTCAATGAATGAATTAGGGCCTCATGGGGCCTGTTCTAAGGCACCTGGTGGCCTTTGTTCTTTCCTTTGACCGTGTCTTCGGTCTCTGTCTTTCTTAGTGGTACAGGTAGGTAGTTTAATTGAATACATGCACAAGTTGGCTTCCTCAGATTTACGTATACTCACTTGCTGCTTTCTTACAGTTCTTTGTCCTGCTTTCTCAGTGAACGTCCTGCTTACCAAAGATAAGGTAAGACACCAGAGATGTGGTGTGAATAAGGTCATATTTATAGTCTATGGTCATACAATTTAAATGAATGTTTTATGTATAGCATGGCGAGCCATTTTTAACCCCCATTTAACATTTTGTAGGTTCACCTGCTGCTGTTTTGTCTTCTGTTTTTGCTCTTTTGTCTTGCTGTTTTATTGTGTTTTGCTCTGTTGTCTCGCCTTTTTACTTGTTTTGATTATCATTTGTTGTTTTAGGAACCAACTGAGATGTTTTTGTTCAACTTAGTTTTAGTTGTTTTCTTTGATTTTGTGAAGCTGAGTGTCGGTCGGTCGGGGCCGCACTATTTTTTGTAATGAAATTGTATCTTAATACTTCTTGTTTGTTGCTTACTAACTAACGATCAT